AATATGCTATGGATAATTCACACACGGAATCCAGTACTGGTCATCTGTACAAAACTGAATTATAGTACACTCTAGGCGTTTAAGCTGAAAGTTTATGTAAAGCTGTAGCAATGTTTAAAATAAAGAAACGTAAGATGAAAAACATTATAAAGTTAGTGACAATTTCATTATATAATACATATTGACCTTAGTAATTACACACGCGTTACGCTGTTATTTTTCCATAAAAGGTACTTATTCTTGTGTATCGTTATTTTTATTTTTTGTATTTTCTAAGCTTTTTTGTTACTAATTTGAAAATGCTAACATTTTCATTTGATTGATAATTGAGAGTATCAACCAGTAATAAATGATTGGAGCCCCCAACCCATCTTTGATAACTTGGAGCTACCAATCCATCACTGATATAATTGGGGCTAGCAACCCATCTGTAATAATTGGGGCTACCTACCCACCTCTGATAGCTTGAAGCTACCAACCAATTGTGGATATTTCAATAAACGTTATTTATTTAAGGGGCCCAGCATGGCCAGGTGGTTAGGGTGCTCAACTCGCAATCTGAGGATCGCGGGTTCGAATACCCGTCCCACCAAACATGCTCGCCCTTTCAGCTGTGGGGGCGTTATAATGTGACGGCCAATCCCACTATTCGTTGGTAAAAGAGTGGCCCAAGAGTTGGCGGTGGATGGTGATGACTAGCTGCCTTCCCTCTAGTCTTACACTGCTAAATTAGGGACGGCTAGCGCAGATAACGTTACTTCTCTGACACAACAAAGTGGAACTTTTGTTTGATTATCGTAACGTATGCAAAAGTTAATTTTTCCGATTTATTGTTTAGTGTAAGATGCGTTATTATGTTAATAAAAGGTGTTTACTTCATAACAATCTAAAACTTTTCAAAATAATTGTTATGCTCATAGACAAAGCTTGCAACTTTTTTTATTGTAACAAATCTTAATTTTTTTTATCAAATGTTATTCGAAAAAAAAAGTCGTAAAGAGAGAGAGTTTTATATAATTGATATAAATTGTTATTTTTATTCTGTGATAAGCAAAATAAACGAGCTATAAAAATGATAAAACTCTAACTAATTAGTAAACTCGCATCAACATTAAGCTCTGGTATTTTGTTAACTTGTTTAACAAGTCTGTTCATAAATACTGGCTTTCAGTGTAGATTTAATGTGTGTGTGTCTATATATATATTGCATTATACATGTTGTATATGGTAATTATGCACATAGTCATTAGTAATCACTTGTAATATATTTTGCAAACATTTTTTATTTTGTAAAAACATCTGATCTTGAGGTCATGACTTTGATTTTCGGCAAACTTTTCATAAAAAAAATGAATGGTTATATTAAAAATGTGTAGACTCTTTGATTTCTGTATGTACATTATGTATTAAGTTTCAACAAAATATGTTTTACTGGACAAAAAGAAAAATCAGTCAGACGAAAATATTGTGTGGAGAACAAGCCTCAGTCAATTAATGTATTTTATCTCTAAGATGATGTATATGTTATTTAACTGAATATTTTCTAGCTTTGGATTGTTGTCTATTATGTGGCAACCACAATAAAAATGTGCGTGAGACGCCAACTTACCAGAATAAAAGCGGCCTGATTATGCCATCTAGTGTCGTATTTCTTTTTGTTAGTATACCCAAGAGAAGTAAATTCGTGAAAAATCAGTTTTTTCTCCCTAATTTATGATCTATGCAATTAGGCAAAAGATCATTTTGCAAAAATGTTTCCTTGAGAAAACGTGTTTTTCCGAGATATATTTTGGAATGTTCAGAAAATTTACTCTTTGGTCGTCAAGAAATTAATGTCACGTTTTGGAACATTTTCGTTAACACCCCCCCCCCCCAACGAAACCTACATCACGTATAATAGTTAAACAACCCACCTATACGTCACGTCAGTGTAGCCTATATAATGTG